ACAGGTTTTGAACAAAAAAAATGAATTATAACATTTAANTATGCTGCGGAACGAATTATATGTTTTAACATGTATTTCTATGGGAAAATGCGTTTCGTATAACGGACTTTTCACTTAACGGACGTGCACCTGGAACGGATTAAGTACGTTATACGAGGCACCACTGTATGTGATATGTGAAAAATATTCTTTTCTCTGGCTGAGCAACGTAGGTTTGATTTTGGAAAAATAACTAGACCAGTCTGTGGATTATTTGGCACATGCTTCAGTGGACTACTGGTGGTCCAATAGTCCACAGATCATACTGTGAGAATCACTGCTTTAAAGAATATGTTTTCAATAAAAATAGTAAAAAACATAACTGATAGTTATTTACATTTAATAAATACTTTGCTTTTGTTCTTCTTCCATTGTTTTATACCATCAGCAGTCCATCAAAAATTTACAAAGATATGGAGANGTTTTCGGAAAATTAAACTAATATCATAAATTGCATCTTGTTTGTCATTTCTGCAATGAAGTTTATAACTCCTTTGAAAATAATAAATAATCCATTATGATAATGGCAGGTTACAACGGTCTGAAACATGATTGTTCAGTTAATAATCAAGTGAAGACTTCTCAGAAGCTGAAACTTTCTTATAATCAACAAGAGACCACCTTTCTTACTTTTTCAGCATACAATTTTATTATAACACAAAATGTTTTTGGTCTCATTTAGGGGCTTGCAACAGGTTTTGAACAAAAAAAATGAATTATAACATTTAAAAACAATAAAACTAAAACCTTACAATTGTTGGTTTGTTTTATTCCTTGACTGCCTTTTATCAGAGACAAAGAACTAAGGAAACGCAGAGCAGAAAAATATTATTTTTATTTTTAAAATAAGCCATGCCTTTCAGGTGGTTTTACAAAAACTTCTTTTATACTCTTCCTCAAGGTTTTTTTACAAATTTTCTGATCGAACATCATTTATTGGAAAATTTGTAAAAAAGCCTTGAAGAAAAGTGTAAAAGAACTTTTTGTAAAACTACCCAAAATGCATAGCTTGTTTTGAAAAAAATAAAAAATAAAAAATAATAATAATAATAAAATAAAAATTTTTCTGCTCTTAGTCACTGATAAAAGGTAGTTGAAGAGTAAAACAAATCAACAACAATCTTAAAAACAATTTTAGTTTTATATTGTTTTTAAAAATTGTTTCTGCCCCATTGTATATATTAAAACAAATTACAGCATTTTAAATGATAGAATGATGTAATTTGGAACACTTTGCTTTTTGTTTGAAAACCTGATGCAGACCCTTAAACGAGGCCAAGCACATTTGTTTTATAATAAAATTGTTTGCTGGAAAAAGTATGGAAGGTGGTCTCTTGATAGATGAATAATCTTATTCATTATCATTTACTTCAAAGCAACTAATAAGCTTTTTCACAATAATATTTATATTGATTGTTTTCATTACCAGTTTCTGTGGATTTTTTTAAGCCTAAAATTTTGTTGTTTTTTTTTCAGTAACTTATATTACTCAAGGAACTCTTAAGGAAGTTTATATCAAAAAGAGTTTCTTGTGTGATGTAAGTTACTGAAAAAAAACCAAAATTTTAAGCTTAAAATATTAATATTGATTTTCTAGGAGATGAATGCAATCTGGAGTTTGCTACTTCCTCAGAGCTAGAATCTTACTATAGAGGCAGTCACATAGATAGGGTTTGTGCTGCCCAGGACAATCCTTGAGTTTGGCACTTCCACAGAAAAAAACAACATAATATACATCAAACACATATAGAGAAAAGGTGAAAAAGATATTTAGTCATAGGGAAAATCCTGTCAAAAAAATTAGGACACTGTTACTAGTGTTGTTTTTAATTAAGCACATAAGAGCTTAAATAGGTATGATAGTCAGTAAGGCAATCTTCAAGGAAATAGTCTTTGAAAGTTGCTATATTGAATTGTGTTTTTGTGGATAAATAAAATTGTTTGGCACCTTGTGTCCTTCTATATCCCAACAGAAAAAAACTTTCCGTTTTGTTGCAGTAGACCAAAAGTGCTGCTCAGGGTAGACTGTTCTCCCTGTTATGCTACTGTATAGAGCAGGGGTGGCCAAGCTTCTTGATAGTCTGAGCCATTTTTCAAAATTCAAAATTTTTNAATAAAATAATTTAAAAATAATTTTTAATGATACAATTGCAACAATTATTATTTTTTAAAAAGTTTTGTTATGCTTAACATCGATGAAAATTCAACGCGAAGTAGGTTAATAGCGATATACTAATAAACTAATTACATGGGATATACTAATATACTATACTAATAATGTATTTTTTTCATTCTTTTCGGTTATCCAATTTTTTCAGTTATTCGACCACCCGAGTCCCCAATTGAGTCGGATAATCAATGCTCTACTGTATTCTAAAATTTTACAAACAACAACTGGTTACTTTTAAGAGACAATTGCATATAAAGAAACTTATAAGTTACCAAAACATCTTAAAATTCTCAAAATAAACATTCCAAAAAACACCAGGTAAAGATCAACAGAAAAAAAAAATCAAATAAAAATTTAAAAAGTCTTACCAACGGATTTTTCGAACTTATCGCAGCTATACATTTTGAAATTTGGACGGAGAGCTCTTACAGAGAGTATTAAATCTAAAACTGAATTTAGATATATTTATATACGATTAACTCTTTATCTACAGAAAGAATCAAAGTCCCATCGAAAATGAACTTTGAGTCTTTACTTCCACGTTCTACTTTTCTTATTGGTAAACAAAATAAGTCATTATCAGGCTGCAGTCATTCTATATATAGGCCTAGTCCATTTTTAATTACGATGTTAATAAATAACCTATAAAAGCTTTCAGATAACGTATGAAAACTTGGAGGAAAACAATATTAAATAAAAATACCTTCCAGACATTTTTTATGTATTTACCATTATGGTATTTAATCGTAGAAAGAATTTTTTTTCTTCTTAAATGGATAGAAGTTACTTTTAAGTGATTGTTTACGTATCCAAATTACCTAAAATTAACCTCTATCCATAATTGCATGACCACATGTACGTGTTTCCTTCAATAAACTTATTTTAAGCGCATTTAATTCTTAAAATTACTTATATAATAAAAATCTTTTGTTTTTACCATTAATAATAAATGTGTATCGTAATGATTAATTAGTTTAGATGATTTAAATTTAAATTTAAAAAACTCGAAGATAAATCCTCCCCATTCGTCACTTACACTTCTGAAGGTGACAGTGTTGCCAGCTGGTATATCTTGTTTTTAAATAGGCATGAATTATAAGTTTTAATAATTTAATGGAATTTACACATTTTTCTAATAATTTCATGAATATAATTTGTGACAAATCTCAATTACAAAATATAACACTATTTGAATCTTGGAAATATCTCTAGCAGAAAAATTTTCAATAAACTATAATGTAGATGAATGTTTTCAATCAGATCTAATGCAGATCTTATAGTTATGTTCCAAATTGGAATACTAGCTTGAACATGATGTATTTTGAATGTTATTGGATACATTTAAATATATAAGAATATTACAATTACAAAGTATTATAAATGAGAGATGGTCTGTCATAAAGGCAATGTTTGAAAGAAAAGTTCATGCATTTTTGTTTCAAACATAGTATAGGGATTTTCATTACTAGAAAATCCTGCCTATGCTACAAAAATAAGTTCCTAAAAGTTCTACAAAAGATAGTCCTGAATGTAATGGAACTTTTAAATGTAAAAGCAGACATCTGAAGAACCTACGATTGCCACCTTTTAGTTTTCCAAAGGACAATGATAGTGATACATGATAGAGGGTCATAACCAGTGGTGATATTCAGCGGGTTCGCACAGGTTCGGCCGAACCCGTTGTTAACATTTTCAAAGTTTTCCGAACCTTGTTAAACACATGTAACATTTCTCAATGGTTTTGATTCTTTTAAAAATATTAAAATATACGTATTATTCTCTGTAACACTACTAAACTAGAGCCTTCCGATACACCATTTGAGCAAAAAAAAATTGTTAAGGAAAAATTTTCTGTTAGCGAACCCTTTGTTAAATGTTTCGAATGTCATCACTGGTCATAACTGGGGCAAGTTATGAGCTACAAACAAAGGAATGTCAGTAAAATTAGAAACAATAATGATTAATTAATATTAATCTTAAATTTTTTGTTTCTCTTATCCATTTTGATGTTTGGAAGGGCATTTTATCACTAAATGAGGACACAAGGACACTGCAACTGAAGTACAGACCATCCTTACCAAATAAGGACTCTAAAAGTACCATAAATTATACTACAGTAGAGCATCGATTATCCGACCCCCGATTAACTGTCACATTGGTTAACCGACCGTTCTAGTTGGCAAATTTCAAATGTCCACTAGTGATATGGCGCTACAATATTTGGGTATGTCTTGGCTATTTTAATATTATTTTTGTTAAATTTTTGTGTGTTTTAGCTAGCAACACTGGCCCGATCATGAAAGGGAGGCCAGTATTTAAACGAGACTTAATTTTCTAATTACAAGTGGTTAGTTGTTTTGTGAGCAATAAAATAATTTAAAAATAATTTTTAATGATACAATTGCAACAATTATTATTTTTTAAAAAGTTTTGTTATGCTTAACATCGATGAAAATTCAACGCGAAGTAGGTTAATAGCGATATACTAATAAACTAATTACATGGGATATACTAATATACTATACTAATAATGTATTTTTTTCATTCTTTTTGGTTATCCAATTTTTTCAGTTATTCGACCACCCGAGTCCCCAATTGAGTCGGATAATCAATGCTCTACTGTATTCTAAAATTTTACAAACAACAACTGGTTACTTTTAAGAGACAATTGCATATAAAGAAACTTATAAGTTACCAAAACATCTTAAAATTCTCAAAATAAACATTCCAAAAAACACCAGGTAAAGATCAACAGAAAAAAAAAATCAAATAAAAATTTAAAAAGTCTTACCAACGGATTTTTCGAACTTATCGCAGCTATACATTTTGAAATTTGGACGGAGAGCTCTTACAGAGAGTATTAAATCTAAAACTGAATTTAGATATATTTATATACGATTAACTCTTTATCTACAGAAAGAATCAAAGTCCCATCGAAAATGAACTTTGAGTCTTTACTTCCACGTTCTACTTTTCTTATTGGTAAACAAAATAAGTCATTATCAGGCTGCAGTCATTCTATATATAGGCCTAGTCCATTTTTAATTACGATGTTAATAAATAACCTATAAAAGCTTTCAGATAACGTATGAAAACTTGGAGGAAAACAATATTAAATAAAAATACCTTCCAGACATTTTTTATGTATTTACCATTATGGTATTTAATCGTAGAAAGAATTTTTTTTCTTCTTAAATGGATAGAAGTTACTTTTAAGTGATTGTTTACGTATCCAAATTACCTAAAATTAACCTCTATCCATAATTGCATGACCACATGTACGTGTTTCCTTCAATAAACTTATTTTAAGCGCATTTAATTCTTAAAATTACTTATATAATAAAAATCTTTTGTTTTTACCATTAATAATAAATGTGTATCGTAATGATTAATTAGTTTAGATGATTTAAATTTAAATTTAAAAAACTCGAAGATAAATCCTCCCCATTCGTCACTTACACTTCTGAAGGTGACAGTGTTGCCAGCTGGTATATCTTGTTTTATTAAAATTTTGATAAATTAAATTTTAAATTATCATTAAATTACCATTAAATTTTTTATTTATTAATTTATATATTTTAAAAAGAATCCATTGTTCTAATCATGTACTTAAGTTATTAATTCAGATTGACAAATCTGAATTAATAACTTAAGAATAATTTGCATATTTTATCATTATTGTACTGTTCATTGGCTACTTCTGAGCAAGAAGCAGCTTAACAAGTGAACCAATAGAATTTACAATATTATTTTTTTATAAAAGTCATCCTTAACCTCATAATTAAGCTTTATGCCATTTTATAATAATTAAAAATATTAAAAAGTGTTTCTAATAAAATATCATAACAGATGGCGCTACACGCAGTTTTAAATGTTGCTGGGAAAGTTTAAACTCATTACTGAAATTTTTTTAAAGCTTGTCTTAATTATTAATTTAATTTATAAAAATATATTTTGTATATTAAATGAATATGGTACTTCTAGATAAAAAAATTATTTTAGGAAAAACATCAAATCGGACCCTATCTCCTAAGTTACTTCGGAAAGAGCGTTGCAGACTAGTATTAAATGGAATAAATATTTCACGATCTTGTCATAAACCCGTGGAATCGTTATTACTCAGTTTTGGTTTCTCCTCTGTGAAAAGTGGATTTTTATTCTTGCTATCTACGAAATTGTTGAAACGTGACCTTGTGGCATCAGCGTTTCACTTCTAAACAAGTAAGAGTTTGTTTCTCATTACTAACATGTAGTGGTAGAAACAATCTAACGGATTATGAGGTTTTTCTACACTGTATCTGACACACACAACAATTCACGATGTCACGTTGTTCCAAAACATTTCGTTTTCCTAAGTTGGTCTACCATGTGTTCCCACACTTTTTGAACATTATTTTGAAATTGGCTAATCGCATTTTTAGATAAAAGTTTAGATTGAACACAATGACAGACGAAGGAAGAAGAAAAAAAAGTAGAAACTAATATGGTTTCAGAATCCATGGCTGAAGCCATAGAATCTATGAGAGAAGATGGAATGGAAAAAGTAGTAAAAATATTTCGGTTCCTAAAAAGTACTTTAATGAAGTTGTTACACTTAAAATGATCAGATTGCTGCTTAAATTTGATATGATGTGTGTTGATTGGGCCTAAGTATAAAGTTCAGGAGCAGAGGCAGATGAATATATGCGATTTTTGCAAATAAACACTTTCATTTCTCGATGCCTAAATATGCAATATAACCAACTTATTGATCAAAACATAAATCATATTTTTTATATAATCTACGTTTAGCTATTTTTAAACTCATTTTCACACTCTTTTAAAAACTGTCACGGTTTAGGTAATAAACAACACGGTCACTCTAGCTAAGGTGACCAAATTTTTTTTCGGCAAATCCAGGGACACATGTCACTCGTCACTTTTTAGAGCAGTAGTAGCCTACATATGTAAGTACATTTTTTTTTTTTTACATTTAGTGGAGCACTCCCTCTGACCTGTAGCATTAAATGCTACTGGCTTGAGGTACTCCTCTTTTAATTAATCTGCTTCGCATATGCTTTGCAGGTTGTGTAAGTACAGTCAAATTGGTACTGTACAGTACATACACATGACTGAGACCTAAACATTTTAATTTTGATTGAGCTCGTTCACTTCAATCAAACAGCTGTCCTCCAATAAAGTTTATAGCTATAAACTTTTGGCACGTTTTTTCTATGTTCTGCCCTCTTTGAATTTGGCTCCTTCTTGGCATTTCCACAAAAATTGATTACTTCATAAAAAATTACATGCAACTCTGAAAACATTGGATACATCTTCTAGTGGAAAAATTGACTAGGCCCACCAGTGGCCGAGCGGTCTTCGTACCCTGAACACTGGGAGTTCGGTCATGGGTTTGCGCCTCGCTCGGACGGTCTGGCCATGAGGAGTTTTCCGGGTTTTCTCCACGTCTGTAACGCCTAAATAGGGGCCAGTTTCCCTTAAAAGACCTCCCGGAAGGCATTCCCTCTAGGCAGATCGCCCAAGTGTTGCGTTGCCATAACTTAAATTAAACAAACAAACAAAAATTGACTGCGACAATATTACAGTAACCACAAGGAAACGGAGACAGACGGGGACAAGTTTCCCTCTCAAGAACAAAACCAGTGACGCTTCCTTGTCGGGAAACAGAGGGTCAAAAACGGGGACAGTTTGTTTTTGACAACTATCAAGATAACTTGAAATTGTTCCTCCTTATTCAGAAACATGTTTTACCCGTAAGAGAATAAACATAGACTACATAACTCTTATGATTCTAGACTAATGGCATACCCTGTATTTTACGTCTACGATTATTCAGATAATTATTCTGTGGCTAGATGGCCGAGCGGATAAGGTGTCAGCTTACCACTCTTGGGAACCCGGAGTCGAAAATTCCCAGGTATTTTTCGCGTGGGTGGTCCGTTCCGGATATGTCTGGCCCCGTCCTTCACCACCGTCCGCTTTATTGTAGGTCTAGCTCAGGGGTCGCCAAAGTGGTCTATATCGACCCGTAGGGGTCGATATGACATTATTGGGGGGTCGATGAAAAGACTAAAACTTATAAATTTTGAACCGAATATTGCTAATCTTGCTAAGGATTATCAAGCTTANGGACGATTACGCCACTGTTTATGTTCGTTCGCGCAGTTTTCCATGAGTCATATCATTCTTAACTTGGACGGAAATGAAATTTGTTACAACGTTGCACTTAATCTTTCATATTTGTTGTTAGTAATTTAAAAGACATTTTGAAACACATACGGAACAATAATAATTTTTTAAAATATAATAACACAAAAATGAAAAGGGAACTCGGGTACATTTATCGAGAGCCACAAATAATCATTCAAAGAGCCACATGCGGCTCGCAAGCCGCAGGTTGGCCACCCCTGGTATAGAGGGTATTAAGCTACTGATATCTGCAAATATCAAATCTGTAATTCTTCATTTTAGTGAATACATAAGTAAGATTCTACACTGAGAGATTCTCTATAGATTTAAAATAAATGTGTATAGAGAACACAACTAACAATACAATTATCTATTTGTTTATTCTGTTATCATTCAAGATAAACATCTAAAAGAAATTTTCTAATTAACAAACTTAATATACGAGGGCTGTTCGGAAAGTTCGCGGCCTTGCCTATATGCGGCGCTGCGATCAATTTAATTNTGCTCCCACGAAGTTTTCTGGCATTTACCCTACGATAGATGGCGCGCGTTTACACGAGCATTCGCGCACAGTGTGTTCGATCGATTTCAAATTGCGAAGACCATTTCCTCTTTTTCAAAAAATATCTCTATATATGCATTTGTGAACTGTTATCTACGATATTTGTAATAATTTTTGTTTAATCACTTTATTTCAATTTTTTTTTGCTAATTACGTATTCGCTCAAACTTTGTTAAAATCTTAACTGTATCCCGAACAACAACCGAAGTTGTAGGAGGAAATTCACCTATTTTACTGATCTAAGGATCCCATTTTCCAAATTTTAAATATCAACTCAAAATAATTTAAAAAGACAAATTACGATAAAACAGTTTATTATCCAACTCTCAGAAATTTCACAACGTGCCAAGGAAGAGAGGAAGGAGCAATTAAATAATTAAAATTAAATTATAAAGGATTTAAAAATATAGATATAAAAATAGGGAATATCGCACTTCTGACAATCGCTGCGAGTGTATGGGCTAAATTTGGAGAATCCGTGCTTCTTGCATGGACAACTGTATGAGGCCCGCTCACACGTTGGAAAACCTGATTTATTCGTTGGAAAACCTGATTTATTTTTTGTTTTTCCGCACCAGGCGGAAAAACAAAAAATATCATGTATCTACAAGTACTCCAATAAATAAATAGAATTGAAACAACACTTTGAAATGTTTTCCCCATGAAAATTAATAATAATAAGTTTCAATAAAAATGATAAAATGTAAATTGAATTTTATCATAATGAGTTTGCTTGAATTTCCTTTCTTCTGAGATTGCAGCAATGCGCGACGGGTAAGCTAGTTTGAAATAAGAATATTTCTTGGGGTTTGAAAGTAATTTACAGTTTGCTTTAATGAATTCTAGTAAAATTTTTGTTCTCTTTATCCCATGAAAGTTAACATTGTGACAATGGCATTTTGCCAGGGCAATAGCAAAATTTGCTTTAATGTGTGAATTCACTTTATTTGTGTTTGTTTAAGGATGAGTGGACTGTGGATTTTGATCATTTCTAAATGTTTGTATAATTTGTGTTTGGTAGTATTTCTTTTGCTTTTTAAGTTTTTTTTACAAATTTTTATTAATATTGCAATTATGGAATACACAGTGTTTAGTGACAGTGGAGACATCACTTTAAAGAACACATCAATGCTATAAAATACAACCTTGAAAAGGTTGTATTTTATAGCATTGATGTGTTCTTTAAAGTGTATTTTTAACTATTTTGGTTTCACCAACATAAGTGTGGTTACAACTACAGGAAAATTTATAAACCACATTGTTTTTCTCCGAAATGTTGATAATAGTTTTATTGGTGCTTAATTTTTTTTGGATTGTGTTGGTGTAGGCTAGAACAATATGTACAGGGTGGGCCAAAAGTCACTTTACCATTTAAAAATGAAATAATTTTTTACTTTTAATTATTTTATAAGTTTCTTTTTAACATTATAATGTACATATCTTGGAGATGTTTTTGGCCTAAACATGAAAGATAATATCTTTTAAATGACCCCCGTTTTCCTCTTTACAGTAGAAAGAGCTTGCCTTTGTGAAGTGACTTTTGGCCAACCCTGTATATTAAATTGTTAGAATTTATTTTGGATCTTTTCAAAAACATTTTTACATATGGAACTGTTTGGTCAAATTTCTAGTCTGTCCAATTTGGCGTCCCAGATGATCACAGGCATGTTCGCTCAGTGAGAAATTGGGAGACAGGCAGGTCAAGAAAGTGTGGTAATATGGTGAAGGCTGTCCTTTTGACATCCTTGGTGTGTGTGGTCAAGCATTGTCTTGTTGGAAAATGGAAACATAGTAAAGAGAGAAAACGTCTGGTTTACTTAAATAATAAATCATATGATATTTAGTATTTAAGATGTCTACTCAGACTTATTTTATTAATAGGACTTATTATACCGACGACTTGGTTCAGCAAATTTAAGAAAACTTATCAGAAAAAACAGTCTTTATTTTTCACTCCTTTTTACATAAAAATACAAAGTATAATTGAGTTACAAAAATCTGGTAAATTTTTNATAAAATATGCAAATTGTACTTAAGTTATTAATTCAGATTGACAAATCTGAATTAATAACTTAAGAATAATTTGCATATTTTATCATTATTGTACTGTTCATTGGCTACTTCTGAGCAAGAAGCAGCTTAACAAGTGAACCAATAGAATTTACAATATTATTTTTTTATAAAAGTCATCCTTAACCTCATAATTAAGCTTTATGCCATTTTATAATAATTAAAAATATTAAAAAGTGTTTCTAATAAAATATCATAACAGATGGCGCTACACGCAGTTTTAAATGTTGCTGGGAAAGTTTAAACTCATTACTGAAATTTTTTTAAAGCTTGTCTTAATTATTAATTTAATTTATAAAAATATATTTTGTATATTAAATGAATATGGTACTTCTAGATAAAAAAATTATTTTAGGAAAAACATCAAATCGGACCCTATCTCCTAAGTTACTTCGGAAAGAGCGTTGCAGACTAGTATTAAATGGAATAAATATTTCACGATCTTGTCATAAACCCGTGGAATCGTTATTACTCAGTTTTGGTTTCTCCTCTGTGAAAAGTGGATTTTTATTCTTGCTATCTACGAAATTGTTGAAACGTGACCTTGTGGCATCAGCGTTTCACTTCTAAACAAGTAAGAGTTTGTTTCTCATTACTAACATGTAGTGGTAGAAACAATCTAACGGATTATGAGGTTTTTCTACACTGTATCTGACACACAACAATTCACGATGTCACGTTGTTCCAAAACATTTCGTTTTCCTAAGTTGGTCTACCATGTGTTCCCACACTTTTTGAACATTATTTTGAAATTGGCTAATCGCATTTTTAGATAAAAGTTTAGATTGAACACAATGACAGACGAAGGAAGAAGAAAAAAAAGTAGAAACTAATATGGTTTCAGAATCCATGGCTGAAGCCATAGAATCTATGAGAGAAGATGGAATGGAAAAAGTAGTAAAAATATTTCGGTTCCTAAAAAGTACTTTAATGAAGTTGTTACACTTAAAATGATCAGATTGCTGCTTAAATTTGATATGATGTGTGTTGATTGGGCCTAAGTATAAAGTTCAGGAGCAGAGGCAGATGAATATATGCGATTTTTGCAAATAAACACTTTCATTTCTCGATGCCTAAATATGCAATATAACCAACTTATTGATCAAAACATAAATCATATTTTTTATATAATCTACGTTTAGCTATTTTTAAACTCATTTTCACACTCTTTTAAAAACTGTCACGGTTTAGGTAATAAACAACACGGTCACTCTAGCTAAGGTGACCAAATTTTTTTTCGGCAAATCCAGGGACACATGTCACTCGTCACTTTTTAGAGCAGTAGTAGCCTACATATGTAAGTACATTTTTTTTTTTTTTACATTTAGTGGAGCACTCCCTCTGACCTGTAGCATTAAATGCTACTGGCTTGAGGTACTCCTCTTTTAATTAATCTGCTTCGCATATGCTTTGCAGGTTGTGTAAGTACAGTCAAATTGGTACTGTACAGTACATACACATGACTGAGACCTAAACATTTTAATTTTGATTGAGCTCGTTCACTTCAATCAAACAGCTGTCCTCCAATAAAGTTTATAGCTATAAACTTTTGGCACGTTTTTTCTATGTTCTGCCCTCTTTGAATTTGGCTCCTTCTTGGCATTTCCACAAAAATTGATTACTTCATAAAAAATTACATGCAACTCTGAAAACATTGGATACATCTTCTAGTGGAAAAATTGACTAGGCCCACCAGTGGCCGAGCGGTCTTCGTACCCTGAACACTGGGAGTTCGGTCATGGGTTTGCGCCTCGCTCGGACGGTCTGGCCATGAGGAGTTTTCCGGGTTTTCTCCACGTCTGTAACGCCTAAATAGGGGCCAGTTTCCCTTAAAAGACCTCCCGGAAGGCATTCCCTCTAGGCAGATCGCCCAAGTGTTGCGTTGCCATAACTTAAATTAAACAAACAAACAAAAATTGACTGCGACAATATTACAGTAACCACAAGGAAACGGAGACAGACGGGGACAAGTTTCCCTCTCAAGAACAAAACCAGTGACGCTTCCTTGTCGGGAAACAGAGGGTCAAAAACGGGGACAGTTTGTTTTTGACAACTATCAAGATAACTTGAAATTGTTCCTCCTTATTCAGAAACATGTTTTACCCGTAAGAGAATAAACATAGACTACATAACTCTTATGATTCTAGACTAATGGCATACCCTGTATTTTACGTCTACGATTATTCAGATAATTATTCTGTGGCTAGATGGCCGAGCGGATAAGGTGTCAGCTTACCACTCTTGGGAACCCGGAGTCGAAAATTCCCAGGTATTTTTCGCGTGGGTGGTCCGTTCCGGATATGTCTGGCCCCGTCCTTCACCACCGTCCGCTTTATTGTAGGTCTAGCTCAGGGGTCGCCAAAGTGGTCTATATCGACCCGTAGGGGTCGATATGACATTATTGGGGGGTCGATGAAAAGACTAAAACTTATAAATTTTGAACCGAATATTGCTAATCTTGCTAAGGATTATCAAGCTTATCCATCTTATTGATTGTCAGTTACAAAAAATTATTATTAACATATGTATTGTACAGTACAATACTGTGCAATAAATGTAAAAAATATAAAATTAAAAGATATATATTAAAATAGTAAGCGCTGTTTGTTTTTGCTTGTAACACAAACTTTTTGGTGGAGTCGATGTGAGGTTTCGAAAAGTTGCAGGGGGTCGACGATGAAAAAAGTTTGGCGACCCCTGGTCTAGCTTGATAAAAATGCCTCTTAGTGACCACAGAACAGAAAGAGCGCCTATCATTTATTTTATTAAAGAATGATTATTTCATGTACTATCTTTAAATTAAGTTAATTTGTTTAACAAATCAGAAACGAATTATAACTTATAAATGAAGAAATTGTCGTAGAACTTTTAGTACTGCTTTGATCTTTTTATTTTAAAATATACATCACTTATAATTCTATTCATTACGACTAATCAAACTGTCTTCGATAATGGCTAAACTTCGATTAAAATTCAGTTTGTAATAATGAACAAAAAACGGCATTCTATTCATATATAAAAGTCACATTTAGTCCAAGAAATAAATAGACAAATAGCTTGAAACTAGATCCAGTTTATGAACATTATGGACATCTAACAGGAGAACTTATCTCGGGTTCCGAATGAAGGCGGACTCCAAATTTAATCTTTTATATCAGAAACACGATACAAATTATGTTTCTTTTGATAAGTAGTAAGTAGAAATTTGTTTTTATCGAATTTATTTATATATTTTATGCCTTTGACGAGAAATGGGCCTTCTTTTTTGTTACAGACATGGACATAAGCAAGGCCTCTCTGGCTTGCAGCTATTAAATAATCGCTTGAAATTTTCAATAAAATAAAAAAATCATAACCAATCTTCCAAGTAAAAATATATAAAATATGACTCATTACGAGAAAATTAAATATAATAAATCAAATTAAAAATAATTTTTTATTCGGTTAATCTACTGACCGATTTACGTTTATCTGACTTGTAACACTTTTCTTAAAATAAACATCAATTGTAAACACGTGAAATAATTTAATATTTCACGTAAGCGAAGTGTGATAATATCAAAATAGATAAGGTGACTTTGATGCGAACAATTCTCTTATCGCTACATTGTAACAAAGGAATTATTGTAATAGTGCAGTGACCACAAAACTTGTTATAAACACGTTCCTATGTCCCACTTTGTAAACAGCTATCCGATTGTGCAACATTTAAAAATATTTATTCAATGTCGACATTGAACAGATATTATTAATAGAATTTATTTTTATTTTATAAATCATATAAATATTTTCTGATGATTTAAGCAGTAAAATATTTTATATTATTATTATCATTTAAACTCTTTCCGTCCCGTGGGCATAAGTGGGCCTTTTTTAGAAAGCCCATTATATGTCAGGCCCATAACGGGGCAGTCGGATGGTGAGGGACGGGGACCACATATTCGATCGAACCATCCCTCGAAAAATTTCTGGAGAGTTTTCGTTCGGTTCGATCGCGGGTCCCCCAGAGCGGTAGGCTGCCACCTTGACCGCTTGGTCATCCGTCCTTAAATGGTAGGTTGTTTGGCCATCCATCGTGTATTTTATAGCCAGATGGCTGAGAAGTTAAGGTATCAGCCTACAACTTTGGAGAGACCGGGATCAAATCCCGATGGATCAATATGTAGTGGAAACTTCATATCTCTTAGTGTCCACAGAATAAGGCCGAGCGGTCAAGGTGGCAGCCCACCGCTCTGGGGGACCCGGGATCGAATCCGGACGGATCAAGGAATCCCCAGGAATTTTTCGGGGGTGGTCCGTTCGGATATGTCGGGCCCCGTCCCTCACCACCCGGTCGTCCCATTGTGGGCCTGGCCGAACCCACAATGGGCCTGCTATAAGAGGCCATCTTAGTGCCCACAGGGCAGAAAGAGTTTAAAAAAAAAGTGCCCACAGAATGGAAAAACTTCATTGTTTATAGTTAATAGTTTAAAATTATAATAAAGTTATTTTATAATGCAATATATTATTATTAATTTTATCTTTTGAAAAAGTTATTATTTATTATTGTTTATACTTTAGTTGATACTAGAGGTCGTATTATGATCGTAAACAAAATGATGGAGGAATGAGTTAGGAATCACGTGTAGGAATGTATTATAAATAGATGTTGTAATTCAAATGGCGCAAAAAGTTAATGAACGTAAGGTTATTTTTATTTTGTATTTCACATTATGCATTTTTATTTATTGTTTAAAAATTTATTCTATTAATATTTATCATTTTTTATAATTTAAAACATAGGTTTTCGGAAAATTAAACTAATATCATAAATTGCATCTTGTTTGTCATTTCTGCAATGAAGTTTATAACTCCTTTGAAAATAATAAATAATCCATTATGATAATGGCAGGTTACAACGGTCTGAAACATGATTGTTCAGTTAATAATCAAGTGAAGACTTCTCAGAAGCTGAAACTTTCTTATAATCAACAAGAGACCACCTTTCTTACTTTTTCAGCATACAATTTTATTATAACACAAAATGTTTTTGGTCTCATTTAGGGGCTTGCAACAGGTTTTGAACAAAAAAAATGAATTATAACATTTAAAAACAATAAAACTAAAACCTTACAATTGTTGGTTTGTTTTATTCCTTGACTGCCTTTTATCAGAGACAAAGAACTAAGGAAACGCAGAGCAGAAAAATATTATTTTTATTTTTAAAATAAGCCATGCCTTTCAGGTGGTTTTACAAAAACTTCTTTTATACTCTTCCTCAAGGTTTTTTTACAAATTTTCTGATCGAACATCATTTATTGGAAAATTTGTAAAAAAGCCTTGAAGAAAAGTGTAAAAGAACTTTTTGTAAAACTACCCAAAATGCATAGCTTGTTTTGAAAAAAATAAAAAATAAAAAATAATAATAATAATAAAATAAAAATTTTTCTGCTGTTAGTCACTGATAAAAGGCAGTTGAAGAGTAAAACAAATCAACAACAATCTTAAAAACAATTTTAGTTTTATATTGTTTTTAAAAATTGTTTCTGCCCCATTGTATATATTAAAACAAATTACAGCATTTTAAATGATAGAATGATGTAATTTGGAACACTTTGCTTTTTGTTTGAAAACCTGATGCAGACCCTTAAACGAGGCCAAGCACATTTGTTTTATAATAAAATTGTTTGCTGGAAAAAGTATGGAAGGTGGTCTCTTGATAGATGAATAATCTTATTCATTATCATTTACTTCAAAGCAACTAATAAGCTTTTTCACAATAATATTTATATTGATTGTTTTCATTACCAGTTTCTGTGGATTTTTTTAAGCCTAAAATTTTGTTGTTTTTTTTTCAGTAACTTATATTACTCAAGGAACTCTTAAGGAAGTTTATATCAAAAAGAGTTTCTTGTGTGATGTAAGTTACTGAAAAAAAACCAAAATTTTAAGCTTAAAATATTAATATTGATTTTCTAGGAGATGAATGCAATCTGGAGTTTGCTACTTCCTCAGAGCTAGAATCTTACTATAGAGGCAGTCACATAGATAGGGTTTGTGCTGCCCAGGACAATCCTTGAGTTTGGCACTTCCACAGAAAAAAACAACATAATATACATCAAACACATATAGAGAAAAGGTGAAAAAGATATTTAGTCATAGGGAAAATCCTGTCAAAAAAATTAGGACACTGTTACTAGTGTTGTTTTTAATTAAGCACATAAGAGCTTAAATAGGTATGATAGTCAGTAAGGCAATCTTCAAGGAAATAGTCTTTGAAAGTTGCTATATTGAATTGTGTTTTTGTGGATAAATAAAATTGTTTGGCACCTTGTGTCCTTCTATATCCCAACAGAAAAAAACTTTCCGTTTTGTTGCAGTAGACCAAAAGTGCTGCTCAGGGTAGACTGTTCTCCCTGTTATGCTACTGTATAGAGCAGGGGTGGCCAAGCTTCTTGATAGTCTGAGCCATTTTTCAAAATTCAAAATTTTTTGCGAGCCGCAATTAAATACGTATTAAAAAGGTATGCAAAAAATTCCAGAATTATATCCGTAGCAAGAGTGATACAAATTGTTTCCTCCGGAGCACAATGTCAACTGTCCATTGCAATGACAGTTTACAAATTCAAAATCGGTCTGGAGTCGGTCGATAATGGACGATTACGCCACTGTTTATGTTCGTTCGCGCAGTTTTCCATGAGTCATATCATTCTTAACTTGGACGGAAATGAAATTTGTTACAACGTTGCACTTAATCTTTCATATTTGTTGTTAGTAATTTAAAAGACATTTTGAAACACATACGGAACAATAATAATTTTTTAAAATATAATAACACAAAAATGAAAAGGGAACTC